CAAGAAAGAAATAAGGATTCTATAGAGAGTTTAGTGGAATGGTGTAAGAAAATATGAAGAATTCATCATTTATTTATAGGGGTTTGATCATAGAGTAGGCCCTAAGTTTCGTCCGTATTTTCCGCGTACGAGCTCCATTTTCTACATTCTGTGTATCCATACGTTGGTATTTACGAGTACTACAACTTTCATTCAGACCCCGTCGGCTAATTCTCATTCTATATCAGATATACAAAACTGTATCGAATTTATCGCTCTCGAATAGTAGGGACTAACTTTCGTCCATATCTTTAACATAGGAGCTCTATTCTCGACATTATTTATATCCACATGTTGGTATTTACGAGTACTACAACTTTCATTTAGACCCCGTCGGCTAATTCTCATTCTATCTCAGATTTACAAGTCTGTATCGAATTCTCCGCACTCGAAGAATAGGGACTAAGTTTTGTCCATATCTTTTGCATACGAGCTCCGTTTTCGACTTTCTTTTTATCATTGAGCTTATATTAATGAAATCTTCAATTCTTGTTTAGATTGTTTTGGCTAAAAATCGACCGATCTAAAATTCGATTTCCGGGCTGTGCACTTCTATGCTAAATCTTAGAAAAATTATAACTTCCTCATGCGAAGTCAGATTTGGACGTTCTTTTTATGCCCTCTCTCGGTTTAACGTATACTATGACTTTCTTTTAGATCGGTAAGGCTAAAAATTATTTTATCATGAATTCACTTTTTACGATTCCCGGTGTCATGCCGGTTTTGCCGCAAAACTTTGACATGTTATAACTTCTTCGTTATAAGTCGGATTTCAGCGTTCCTTATATCCCCGAAATCCTTGTTACGACTACTTCAACTTTCTTCATAGATATTTGGTCTACCTATTAGTTTAGTTTTTATGCTTATTTTTATTACTATTTTATTAAGTCGTTATAAATAAGTATAATGCACATGAAATGACATAAATCACATAATACTCAAACCATTCTCCATTATTACTTCAAAATAGGTTACAATTGTTGGCTCTAACTATTAGTTCACCGTACTAATGCTTAGCCAGAAACACGGGCGTTACATTACGGGACCGAAGTTCACATTAATAAATAAACTCTAGTTTCAAATAAGCATAAATAAAGGTTTTTAAATGGCCGTAAATTTGGGGATGTCACAGTTGGTATCAGAGCATTAGTTTAAGTGAACTAAGAATTTGTAGAATTTTTAGACTTAAACTTAGAATGCTAAACGATGATTGTGTGATGAGTGTCTGCTATATTTAGGAAGTATGTCTGAATAGACACGAGGACCAGCTTATTTTAGGGAAGATACCTAAATTGCTTTTATGTGCAAAATGATTTATGCATTCTATAAGATGCCTTATGATTCTCTAAGATTGCTTACCTAGGATTTATTACCTGATTAGATCTATGGCCTGTTGTCAAACTAGAACTAGGATATTCTATGAGTTCAGGTTTCTAAATGTTTAATTATTGTACTAGAATTGGCATGTAACTTTTAGGAGTGATAATGAGAATTATGCGTCTAAACTTTCACTATCTATATTATCGTCTCGGTATGCTAAATGTCGTTATGGTAAGAACACGCAACAGATTAGAGAACGTTAATGAAAACCAGTAGCCTGAGCCACAAGTGATTGAGCGTGCACCAGAGTTAGCATCTACACCCGAGCCAATCACGATGGTTAGAGTACATGAAATGATGTAGATGCTGCTAGACCGTCAGATGGAGGATACAAGGCGTTTACTTCAGGTTAATAAAGATGAACCCGTTGCACCCGTCATGAAATATGGGTTGGAAGAAGAACAGTTAGAGGAAGGGGATTACAACCAAACTGTTAGTCAAGTAGAACCCCAAGTAGTTAGGAGGAATAAATCTGAGGAGGGGATCAAAGGAGAAGGATGCAAGTACAAGGACTCTATGGCTGCCAGACCACCAAGTCTTTCTGCAAGCCGAAAGGTAATAGAAGTTATGGAAAGGATCTTCGAGAAGGAGATGGCATTTAAGAGTTGTGACTATAGCAACAGAGAGAGTACTGTCCTTGAAGTCCGACAGCTAATGATCGAGGTATTGAAATGGTGGAAGTTGTTGGCTGATACCATGTATAAAGGAGAGGTCGGTATGATGTCGTGAGGAGAATTCCTTATGCAGTGGAAGAGAAAATATTGCTCTGAACAAGACCTTATGGATATCAACAATAAATTCAATAACTTAAAGAACGGGAAGATGACCGTCAACGAGTACGTTGCAAATTTTATTGAGAAGATGAAGTTGATTCCTTATCTGGTTCCCACCAAGCTTTCCAAGGTGAATAAGTTTCCTAATGGACTATCGATGGATTTCGGTCCAATGTTGAAGCAAGCAACCACACTGAAAGTCGATATGTGGGCAGCTGGGAATGTTGTGACCCAGATAAGCAAGAAGGGCTTGCAAAAAGTTGAGAAATGAGAGAAAAGGAGGCTTGAAGGAGCTTCAAAGTCTGATAAGAAAGCAAGATTCATGAGAATGGATCCCAATGATAAGAAGAATGGAGGTAGCAGTGAAGCCATGTAGTGTGAAAAGTGCAAGTAGAAGCACTTAAGGAGATGCGACGGAGAAGTGACATGCTATAAATGTGGAAGAACGGGTCATTATTCCAGATATTTCACTTTTGATGACAATAAGTGTTACGAATGTGGTGTTGGTGGTCATATTTAAAAGAATTGCCCGAAAAAGAATGTAGCAACAAGTCAGAATGTACCGCCAACGTCAAAGGCAAGGGATTTTATTTGATCCTCAATGAAGCAATAATAGGTCGGGAATAGAGAGCGGCACATCCAGATTTTGGGATAAGTAGTATTAGAATATGTTGCCTGATATAAGAGGGAAGGAAAATAAAAAAAATTTGTAACCATTTTCGGAGATAATGCAATTTCTAAAATTATATTATGTGCTATTTCCTTTTTGTTATAACTTAGTGGACTGCGAGATAATACTTTGGACTGTTGGATTAGTGTCTAAGTCCATAACTATAATTGGTATGTACTTGACCCGATTTGGCATGGTCCATTTGGGTTGCACTTCATCGGAACAATTTATATGGATAGTCTTTTGAGAATAGTATGTTTATGATTTATATTAATATATTATAAGTTCTAATATACTAATATGGAATCATATTATCAAATTAGTATTGATCAAGAATTAATTTAGTGAGCAAACGGAACTAAATAAATATGGACTCTTATATATAGTATGGGCTAAGTTCATTTAGGTTGGGCTAAGCTTGCATGGATAGTCCATGCAGTTTTTAACACATGGATCGTATGGAAATGAAAGGTCATAGGTATTAGGGTTTACATGGATGAAACCCTAATCCTCCATACTATATAAAGAGCTCTTTGGCACATGAAATGGCACTAGTGTGTGAGTAAACAAGAGTGGGCCAATTTCTAGTGTCCTTACTATTCTCTCAAGTTTTCCAAGGTGTTTTTGGTGATTTGTGATTCCACTTGAGGCTTCCACACTATTAGGGCTAAGCTCTTATAGTTCAAGACTTCAAGCTACATAAAAAGGTATGTTATCTAACTAGGCTTTTGTAGTATAGTTGCTTCATATTATGCTAGTTAGGATAAAACCTTAGAATATTGAATATTAACATGTATAATAGAGAAAACATAGATCCAAGGTTTATAGGGTTGCATGTACACCATAGGAGTGTTACAATGCTTAAAACCCATCATGGACGAGTATGAGTAGGTGTGAAAGGTAGTAGAGGCCTATACTACTGTAAGCATAGGACTTGCACTTGGTTCAGGGAAAGTCATAAGCTTACTAAGACACTAGTAGTTGAGCTATATTGTTCATTTCCATCATTACCTTTGTTTCAATAACGACTACGAAGATAAATATTCCGACCTAAGCGGTCATCTCAAATCTAGTCCAACTAATCTATAAAGTGAGTTCGACGTAGTTTCCAGATTTAGATTGAAGGAAAAAATAATCGCAACGATCAGTAGAGGTATCGTGTTCACTTTTAAGATTAAGCAGCCTGTAGCTAGAAGTGTTACATGATAGAATGTGATTATATCTGTTAGGATGAAAAACGAGATGACGAATGTGGAATCTGAAGAACATCATGAATCAATCACCATAAAGTTGGAAGTAATCTGTCAAAGTTTATGTATATCATTGATTTGGAAATTGAACATACAAAGAACTTTATGAGGAAAATGCTTACCTAATAAGCTAAGCTAATGACTATACATAGGGAAAATAAAACATTTACCAAAAAGACAAAACCTAAAAAATCCTTCGATCATTAACAGAAATGCCAAATCAGTTTCAATATCTCAAATACTCAACAATCTCCCCCTAGATGTCTAAACTGATGAAGATCACGATTTCCAATCTTTTTGGCATTACCCCCCCCCCCCCCCCTAAATTGTGAGACTAATAAGAACAAGGGGTCTTCAAAGAGAGAGAATCAAATATCATCTTCCAAATACAAACTCCCCCTTGACTCTTCAACAAATACCATAGAGAGAATCGGAAAGTTAAGAAGAATCACCAACAACCTACTCTATCACAAAGAGCAAGTTCTCTATTAACCTACTATGTCACAAAGAGCAAGTTCATCTCTAGCAACCTACTCTATCACAAAGATCAAGTTCGCTAATATGGATCTTCAAAACCCACTAGATTTGAACAAATGAAATAAATTCTTTTTGGATTTTCGGGATTTTGAGGTTTAGACAAAAAGAAAAGCATAAGAAAAAAAATATTAGAAGGGTTTGGAAAGAATTAGACCAAGAAAAAGATAAAAAAAATAAAAATATTTTGGGAAGAAATGGTAAATGTGGTAAAACCCCAAGAAATTGAAAGAAATTAGGATCAAAGGTTAAATCTGCCAAGCTGTATAGACTATGGGGACTGAACTTGAAAAATTACCCATTTATTGACGACAGTGAATCTAAAAACCGTCTTCTTCATCACACCCGTTCAAACTCCCCCAACTTTCGATCACAGCCGTAATAACTCAACATTTACGGTTACTCTGAGGTTCCCAACCATTTTTATCTCCTCCGCACGTTTCCTTCATCTTCTTCCCCACGTTCACAGTCGGTTGTATCATTCCACAACCGTTCAATCGGTTTCTCATGGGAGTTCTTCTAACGTTCATTGATCGGTTTCTCAAACTATACAACCCACCACATGTTGGTTAATGGGTTCTCCTCGATCCAGTAAGACAATAATCGTAGAAGCAATGCTCCTGATTATTCATGAATTGCACAACCACGTTGTCACTTTATTGGCCCTAACACTGATTCCCATCTCTTGATGTGATATTTACTAAATTGGGGGTTCACCTGTGCCATAAATATAGATTATGGAGCCTAAATCGCATAACCTAGAAGAACAGCAAGACAAGGTAATTTTGTTTCTTGAATCGTTTTAACTGCATCTGTCAATTTAAGTTCTTATTTGTAGTTGAATTTATGGTTTCTAACCATATTCATGCAGAAGTATGAAGCTTTTACATAGAACAAGATAGATCATATGAAAGTCTCCAAGTTACCGAAGGTTTCACCATGAAGGACAATCCCAGATGTGCATCAGATGTGGACAAACGAAAAAGCTGACTCCGATTGTGCAAGTGTGGAAATAATCGAGTTTAGCCAGCACTTCAACCCGTCACCATGACTTTCACCACTATCAAACGCCTCAAGATTATCACGTAAAACTCTATTTGATCACATATATGCGCTTCTCTCTCTCTCTCTCTCTCTCTCTCTCTCTCTCTCTCTCTCTCTCTCTCTTACACACACACACTCATTTACTTCCTAGACTGCATTTTCACCACACAGAGGCACCCGATTTCTATCTATCTATCTGGTTTGGAATCAAAGACCACCACTCACCTCAAAGGTATGAATAATCTCCTTCTTTTACGTTATTATTTCCTTTTTGCCCTATTCAATGTTTATTTAGATTAGTTTTTCATTTAATTGGATGGCTTCTATATGGTAATAGTTAATGAGGATGTGGGCGTTGATGTATTTTATAATGCATACAAAGTGTTTGATGCAATGCCTAAGTGAAATACCCCTCATAGACCCTAAAACTTTATATTTAGTTTTATGTAAACTAATGTTTATATCATATAAAACATTGAATTTGAGAAAAGAAAGTATTAACAACTTTATAGATTGGTAGTTTCCATAGTTTCCTATTGGTCAACATCGATGTATGTCTAAGAAATAAAAAGATTTGATGGGAAAATATCTAAAATAGCAATGTACTTACCATTGTTTGTTTTCTGGTGTAGTTTTGACAAATGGATTTTTGATTCTGATGTTATTGTGTGTCTGTTTGAAGAGAAGAACCCTTTGGTAAAGTGGAATCAGTATGCAATCAAATATTTATGTTCTTAAAGTATTACTTAACCTACTTTCACTTTTTTTTTATGAATGTTTCCTTATTTTGCTGCATCTAAAAATCTTTGTAGCTGGTTGGTTCTCAGAAAAGAGAGACTTATATGTAAAGATTTTCATGCCTACCCCTAGTTAATCAAACCCATAAGAAACTCAAATTCCATTATCAAGATTTTCCACGGGTCTAATCTGTAAATGGGGTTCTATTTTAGAGCAAATATGTAAGTTTTATTGAAGTGTACACTTTGCTTTTAGCTTTATGGTTTTCTTGATGCTTTGAAATGAATGGGCAGGTCAGATGAGTGATGAACTTGAACACATGACAGAAACAATAGACAGTTCACTAAACAGGTTTGGGTTGATGTTGGAATATCTTCAGGCGGATGAAATAAATGTCAATAAAGGATCAAAAGAATTAACCATGAATAGTAAGTAGATATATCTCATAAAAAGAAAAGTCATGTTTGAAAGAAAATGTGTATTCAAATTCTTGTACTATAATCATAAATAATATCTGACATCTGTCTCCCTATTTTGTTTACATTCAGAAAATTGATTGCACATGACAATTCCTTGCAAACAATTGACAACTCTTTATAGATGATTTTGCACATACTTGTGAGAATACCTTATATCTTGAGTCATATTTTCTAACTCAATTGAATTACCATAACCAGAGCAAATGGAAAGAAGATATAAAATCTAGCCTTCATGGAGAACTGAAGTCACTTTCAGTTGAGCTTAATCACCATAAATGTCACCAGAACTCATAAGAGATTTCAGTCATGCTCTCTGGTTTAGAAGAAAAGGTTGAAGGTTCATATTGAACTTACATAATAACCTCTCAAAAATCCTTCAGTAATGAAATTCAGGTATGTTTTTGTATTAAGAGGCAAACAAGTCGACATATTTTCAGATGTGCAAAAGAATCCATCACACACACTTCTCCCACCAAATGTACTCTCATCTATCAACATGTAGTTGTTAGTGATATAGGGGGCACGATAGTCTTTTCTTACAACATACGATGTCAATTTTTAATGGTACGGAGGAAGAAAACCAATGCATGCCGTCAATTTTGATAGTACAAAGGAAGAAAACCAAAAAAATAGCTACTATATTTTGTTCCTAAAATATGACAGATATATACCCTTCATACAACTACCCTTATAACAACCCGATGCTTTTAGGAAACCAATAATGTTAATTGCTTATGAAGTTTCTCGGCCTAAAACATCTTCTTTCTTTTTTCAGCTTACTTTCCCCAAAAGTGTCCAAAATAGTCATTCCTTTTATTAAATCTTCTATCTTTGATAAACTAATTAACCAATCTTTTTTATGAAATATAACCAAAATATCAAATCCTCAACTTCCTGCTCCAACTTATATTAAAGTGCTATAAGGCATAATAAGAACCAAAACAATCATTTCGTATTTTATTGAATTTAAACTCATGGTTTATTAAAAGAAAGTGTAGTATACTCTTTTTAACCCCAATATGACCATAATGCGCCTTAAAGTTACATATGTTTGTGTATTATAACAACTTACTTTTTCATTCTATCTTGAAATTTTTTACCAATAGTAATCAAACTTTTTAATAAAGTGATATATGCAAAGTGAAAACATCCAGTATCGGTAAAAAGCATAAGTACATTGTTATTATGGGTTAAAGTTTTCTAATATAAGTTTTTATAATGACTTTTATGAAAAAGTGAAGGGTCCATTAAATGGTTTGGGCTAGGCTACTTAATGTATAGGTCTTATTGAGTCTTTTGAATGTAATTGATGTGTTATTGGTGAGTTTACGGACAGAGAGAGTTTACGGCCGTAAACAGGTTTACGGTCGTAAACCTGTTTACGGCCAAGACTTTTCCCCTATATATAGTGAGATGTATGAGTCTGTTTGTGGTTGTTGATGATCCATTGAGTTTACGGTCATTCACAGAGTTGTACTAGACGTTTTTTTGTTATAAACGTGTGCAAGCTTTGGTTCATTCTTCTTCTACTCAATTCTTATCTTATTTGATTGTTAGATTGCTTGATCACTGGTTAAGATCCGTTTCTAGGACCTTACAATTGGTATCAGAGCAAGTCCAGTGTCAAATCATCTTTCAATCACGTTTTCGGTCAAAGAAGCTCAGTTTTATCATTGTTCGAGACTGGATTTGGTGTTTTCGTGGCAAAAGGGGATCAAATCTGAAATAACTTCTTGTTTTGATCAAGTTCTGGGCATTTACGGTCAAGTGTTTACGGCCCTAAACTCCCATTCACGACCGTAAACAGGCAATCTTCATTGACCGTAAACAGGCAATCTTCATTGACCATAAACAGGCAATCTCCCTTAATCGTAAACTCTCCTAGATCGTACACTCTCCTCAACCGTAAACTCTCCTTAACCGTAAACTCAACCGTTGACCGTAAACGTTGACTGCAAACTATTTTTTTGGCATTTTAGTTTATTTTTCAAGTCATCTTCAATTAACAAAAATTAATTAAAAAAATGGATTCTCAAGGTCAAGTACTTCATCATCAATTGGATTCCATCATGGGAACAACCACTCGCATTCCCCGATTGTTATCTGCAGAAGGGTTCCCATAATGAAAATACAAAATCGAGAAATACATCAAAATGAAAGATTTCAAGGTTTGGAGAAGCATTCTCAAAGGGCCAGTCAGAATCACCACAAATCTTCCAACTGGACAAGTAATTGACAAGTTATACGCTGATTACACTGATGAGGATTTCGAAAAGGTTGAAGAACAAGAAAGAGCATTGGCTACTTTGACTATGGCTTTATCACCCGATATTGCTCAAGGCTTCAGAGAATATACTTCAGCCAAAGCACTGTGGGAAACTTTGATTGAGATCTACGAGGGAAATGAAGATATGAAGGAAAGCCGTCAGGATATGTTAAGACAAAAATTCAACATGTTTAATTATATCGTTGGAGAAACCCAGGAAGCTCAGTTGCAGCGATTTACTGCTCTCACTACTGAGATGAGCACAGTTGGGATTTACTTGACTAAGTCTGAGATAAACAAAAAGTTGCTGAATTCACTTCCGAAGTCGTGCGATATGAATGTAGCTGTTATCAAGAAGACAAAAGATCTCAATCGTCTTAGTCTTGCTGAAACAATGGCAATCATCAAATCCTGTGATCTTGATGACAAGCAACGAGAGATTAATCATGTGAATTCCTACTCGACTGCAAATCTTGGGATTTCTTCGAACAACGCCTTTTCATCCTTTACCTCCTCTCCAAGTCAAGATTTTGTTGTTCAACAACCTCAAAATCAAACCTTTATTACTCCATCCGTTGCACCCTTTGTTGCCTCAGCATCAGTTTCTCATCCACAAAGTCAGTCTTTCGTTGTCCCTCAAGCTGTTTCCTCCTCAAATGCACCAGTTATGGTTCCTGCTCCCCATTCCAAAGAAAACGATGAAAATTTAGCTCTTGCCACTGGACTTGTAAATTGCTACAATGCTTTTGTAGCTGGAGAGCTTCCACCTCAACTCTTATTTGCTGACCTAGATCAAATTCATCCAGAGGATCTGGAAGAAATGGACATTACTTGGAAGATAGCTATGGCAGTGTTCAGGGCAAAGCAATTTGCTAAGAAGACAGGAAAGAATAATTGGGGAATGAATGCGGATAAGAAAGTAGGGTTTAAGAAGGGAAAGTTGCGTTGCTACAACTGTCACGAGCCGGGTCATTTTGCTCGTACTGTGACGAGCCAGGTCAGCAAAGTAACCATTTCCCACTGGAACCATTGTTCGATCACTACTTACTCTTCTGTCTGGTTTGGGACACTCACGAGCAAAATGACCCGGCTCGTGACAGTTGTAGCAACACAACTTTCCCTTCTTAAACCCTACTTTCTTATCTGCATTCATTCCCCAATTATTCTTTCCTGTCTTCTTAGCAAACCGCTTTGCCTTGAACACTGCCATAGCTATCTTCCAAGTAATGTTCATTTCTTCCAGATCCTCTGGATGAATTTGATCCAGGTCAGCAAATGAGAGTTGAGGTGGAAGCTCTCTAGCTACAAAAGCATTGTAGCAATTTACAAGTCCAGTGGCAAGAGCTAAATTTTCATCGTTTTCTTTGGAATGGGGAGCAGGAACCATAACTGGTCCATTTGAGGAGGAAACAGCTTGAGGGACAACGAAAGTTTGACTTTGTGGATGAGAAACAGATGCTGAGGCAACAAAGGGTGCAACGGATGGAGTAATAAAGGTTTGATTCTGAGGTTGTTGAACAGCAAAAGCTTGAATTGGAGAGGAGGTAAAGGATGAAAAGGCGTTGTTCAATGAAATCCCAAGATTTGTAGTCGAGTAGGAATTCACATGATTAATCTCTCGTTGCTTGTCATCAAGATCACAGGCTTTGATGATTGCCATCGTTTCAGCAAGACTAGGACGATTGAGATCTTTTGTCTTCTTGATAACAGCTACATTCATATCCCACGACTTCGGAAGTGAATTCAACAACTTTTTGTTTATCTCAGACTTAGTCAAGTAAATCCCAGCAGTGCTCATCTCAGTAGTGAGAGCAGTAAATCGCTGCAACTGAGCTTCCAGGGTTTCTCCAAGGATATAATTGAACATGTTGAATTTTTGTCTTAACATATCCTGACGTCTTTCCTTCATATCTTTATTTCCCTCGTTGACCTCAATCAAAGCTTCCTACAGTGCTTTGGCTGAAGTATATTCTCTGAAGCCTTGAGCAATATCGGGTGATAAATCCATAGTCAAAGTAGCCAGTACCGTTTCTTGTCCTTCAACCTTTTCTAAATCCTCATCAGTGTACTCAGCGTATAACTTGTCAATTACTTGTCCAGTTGGAAGATTCGTAGTGATTCTGACTGGTCCTTTGAGAATGCTTCTCCAAACCTTGAAATCTTTCACTTTGATGTATTTCTCGATTATGTATTTCCATTCTGGGAACCCTTCTGCAGATAACAATCGGGGAATGCGAGTGGTTATTCCCATGATGGAATCCAATTGATGATGAAGTACTTGACCTTGAGAATCCATTTTTTTTAATTAATTTTTTTGAATTGAAGATGACTTGAAAAATAAACTAAAATGCCAAAAAAAATAGTTTGCGGTCAACGTTTACGGTGAACGGTTGAGTTTACGGTTAAGGAGAGTTTACGGTTGAGGAGAGTTTACGGTCTAGGAGAGTTTACGGTTAAGGGAGATTGCTTGTTTACGGTCAATGAAGATTGCCTGTTTACGGTCAATGAAGATTGCCTGTTTACCACGAAGTTATTTCAGATCTGATCCCCTTTTGCCACGAAAACACCAAATCCAGTCTCGAACAATGATAAAACTGAGCTTCTTTGACTGAAAACGTGATTGAAAGATGATTTGACAAGACACAATGGATCATCTTTCAATCCAGTCTACTTCTCAATCCCTCTAAACTCTAGTTAGTCATATGTTTCACTCTCTGCGTCATTGGAAGAGATCCGACCTGAGTGTACAACATATGCATTCTAAATCTGACTTCTTCCTTAATAATTGTCTGCTCATCTGAAGTAAGGAGTATTATGGAAGTCCTTGATTATTGGGGTATATTAGGAAGCGGGAAACACGTTCTAATACAATTAAAATTGAACACTTATAGGTTGTCTGTAGATCTCACTGCTCAATTTAGGTGGACATCAATATTCTTGGTCGTCGTCAGCTGAATGGTCTTTTAGGAAAATTATCTAAGTTCATAGGATCTAAGGTCTTGTCACTTATAGTATATCCTAAATTTGTCACAATCTTTCGTGTTTAAGTGGACCACAAAACCGGCGATCGAGCAGACATAGACATGAAGGTAGAATTACCGATAAGCGGAGTAAGGCTGTCTAATAACATTGATCCCAGTGTGTCAAAAGTATTTTTAATGTTAGATTTTTTTAAATTTTTGAGTGAATTTCAATTTTATTTATTTTTATTTTTTTATTTTTTTTTTGATAAAATTTTTGAATTTTTTTTGTTTAGTTTTAGAAATTAGTTTCATTTTATTATACTTTTATTTTATTCTATTTTTGTCCTCAAAATGTTTTATTTTTATAAAGGTTTTCGGGTATTGGACTTTATCATTGTGGATTGCGGCCCATTAATTTCTCTTTTCGGGTATGTTGATTCCGACCAGGAATATGTTTCGCATCAAATCGACAAGTTTTCAAGGTTTAATCGATGAAAAATCAACTGTCGGTGTTTACAGCCAGACCGTTTACAACCAGGCTGTTTACGGCCGTGAAGTCCCTTTTGGTCAATAAAATTGATTTTTCTTCGTTTGTTTCACTTAAAAGCCAATTTGAATTGCAAACATGAGTAAAACATCAATTTTAAATGTTTAAATACATTGTTTTCTCATTTGGCTTATTTTAGTGCAGATTGAAATGGCAGAGCTCAAGTTTGCTGACAATCACAACCTGGCTATCCTCTTGGCTGATCCTCCGGCTGCTCACGGAGAATTCAAGTCAATGATGCATGGACTGCGAGAGTGTTGCTTGTCTACTGCTCTGATCGTTAATCCAGACATCTATCAAGGCTTGATCAAGGAATTCTGGAGGTCAGCAAAGGTGAAGAAAGGAAGTGATGGAGTTGTTTCTGTTGAGGCTTCAGTCAAAAACTGCAAAATCATCATCACTGAACAGTTCATCAGAAGTACGCTCAAAATTGACGACCAATCAACCTTCTCCACTGAGATCGAGATTTACCAAGTTGAAGAATTTCTTGTCAAAATGGGATATGAAGGTGTTTTCCCTCCAACTATAAAGAAGTTGCTGCCACCGTTCTGGAGATTCTTAGCTCATGTCTTCGTGAGCTGCATTTCCGGAAGAAAGTCTGGCGCAAATGAGATTTCTCTAAGAAGCACTGGTGCCATCATCGCTCTGGTTGCGGGACTGAATTACAACTTCTCAAAGTTTATTCTCGAAGAACTGATTTCAAACATCAAAGGAAAAACTAGGGACAAGTTCTTGTTGTACCCTAGGTTCATTCAAGTGTTCATTGATGAACAATTTCCCGATATGGCTAAAGATGGAGAAGTCCTTGACATGAAGTCTCTTGGGCCGAACACCGTCGGGTTAATGAAGCAAAACAGAAAGGGAAAAATTACTTTTCAAGGAAAGTTTCCCTTGGTGAAGTTTGGCTTGTTTGCTGATTCTTGTGAGGCATCTGAGTCTCATGTTTCATCTGACCGTGTGACCTCTGAAGATGATATTTTTTCTGAAGACGATGTTATTTCGGCTTCCGATCACGAAGATGTTGAAGCTACTCCTGTTGCGATGGTAGCTGAAGAGGATGATTTACGCTCTGTAAATGTTAAGAGTGATTTCAACAAGGGACAATCAGAGGATACGACAGAGAATGAAGAAAATGATTCCTTTGAGGATTTGGATCTTTCGGGCTTTGGCAAGGATGATATTCCTTTGAATCTTGGAGGCAATGCAAACTTCTTGTCAAATGAGGATCTTAACTCTTTCTTTAACACTATCCATGATGTTGCTCATCCAGCAATGGAGATAAGGGAGTCAGAAGACATTCTTGAGACTACGCCTCCTTCTTCTAATCAAATGGCTGACACTTCAACTCCTATGGAGACAAATTAAGGGATTCCTCCCCTTGAGGATGTCATTCCTACTGCTAAGCCAACAGTAAGTGATTCATTGATGACTCAGACCTCTTCGCCTCCATTGAAGAGGAAAAGACTTGATCCAAGACCGGGTGTCTTTGTTCCAGAACTATCTCAAGGCCTTCCGACTCAACCAATGACTACTTGTTTTGCTACTTCTCCTACTCCATCACTTGAAGGTCCAAGTACTATTTTTGAGGTTGGTGGTTCTTCTGTTCCCCCAGAATCATCTCCTTCCAGTCTTTATCATGAAGTTGTCTCTGAGAGACTTGCTTTACATCTGTCCCAAGAACAAATCTCAGAGCCTTCCTCCCGAGCTAAAGGAATTTCTATTGAGGAAGGCCACTCAGGAGAAGATGATCCCACCATTCTTAGACTTCAAAAGGAGATCAGCGTGCTTAATCAGAAGAATATTGAGCTTGATATCCGTGTGTCTAATCTTGAAGCTGAAAACGCCCAACTTAAAATTTGTGTTGCAGATCTTGAAGCGGATAAAACTATGAAATCACAACAAATTTCTGATATGCAAACACACATGGGAACTTTGACTGCATGTTACTTTGATCTAAAGAAGAAACTGGCAGAAGAATTTGGCGACAGATTCAAATCCAGTGCCAGCCAGTCATACGGCCAGAGAGAGTTTACGGCCGTAAACAGGTTTATGGCCATAAAACTGTTTACGGCCAAGACTTTTCCCCTATATATAGTGAGTGTCTGAGTCTGTTGTGGTTGTTGATGATGCATTGAGTTTACGGTCATTCTCAGAGTTGTACTAGATGTTTTTTTGTTATAAACGTGTGCAAGCTTTGGTTCATTCTTCTTCTACTCAATTCTTATCTTATTTGATTGTTAGATTGTTTGATCACTAGTTAAGATCCGTTTCTAGGACCTTACAAAAAGGTGTCTAGGAATTTAAATCTATTTGGACTTTATGTGAAAATTTGTAGTGACTCATCATTTGTCATTGTAAACTGTGGATTTTATGTGGATTAAGAGTTCTAACTGTGGATTTATGTGGATTCTGACCAGTTCTAACTTTTTGATACTAAATAGCCTCAGATTTTTACTCCTATGGTTGTTAACATTAATAGATCAGGTTGCATAATTGTTGTAGGATTTGCTTTCTATAGATTTTTACCTTAACTTTTTGCATCTACAAACCATGTGAACTTCATGTATCTATATGCCCCTAATTAGAAAAATGTTTCAAGACAAATAATTGAACATTTAAAGTTGATGGACTTATAGCATGCAGATCCTGAAATTTCACCATTTACATACACTCGAAGCATGCTTTTGTGTTTGATGAATCTGTAACCAGATCAGCCTTCTTCTACAATCGATAGTTGAAAAACAGTGTTGAGGTAACTAATCAAATCTATGTTAAAATTTCATGTCAACATTATCAAATAATCAAATACATGATCTGTATTTCAAAATGTATTTTACAGGTGGGTTGGGGTAAACCAACCATGATTGAATCAGAGGCGCTATTGTTCAAAGCAACCCTTGAAGATACTAATAATAAGATATTCATACTCGTCTCTGACAGGTTTCTTTCATCTTTTTTTAATGTTAAAGTCTGATTATTTTTATATTTGATGAAGAACACTTATGGTCTCTTAAGTCCCTTTTCTTTGCAGTTGTGTCCCACTATATAATTTCGGTTATATTTACAAATATATAATGTCATCTCCAAGAAGCTTTGTGGATAGGTATTTACTTGGGCATCTTTTGATTTCATTGACTTTTTGGCCAACTGAAGTTGAGTATTCTTTTATTTTTATTCAGCTTTATTGATGATGCCACAGAAAAACGTTATTATCCAGAAATGTCCCCTGACATACCTAAGACAAATAGCATAAACGATCCCAGATCATTTTCGTAATTTTAACATTTCTTAGGTTTATTCGTCTAAATCATTATATTATTTGTTTAAGTTGTTAATTTTTATTAATTACATGATTTCAGTGGATTACATTGGTTAGAAGGCATGCAGAGGTTGTTGCATATGATCAGGTTGTTTTCCCAATCTTTAACAAACATTGCAATGTAGAGATTAAGTTACCTTTGAGATTCTCGCCCTTGATATTTTTTTGTGTAAAATACGTAAATATCCTTCTTATATGTTAATTTAAACTTGGTCCGTTTTTTCAATAAAAAAAACAGAGGCAACCACTTCTAGACTTGAGCAAAGGAAACAAGTCCCTTGTAAGTGAACAACAATTACTATTTTATTTTTTTTATTTTTTTCTTACACATTATTGTTTTACTTTATAACATTTACCATTTCTTATATTACTTTCTTATTATTATATTGCAAAAAGAGCAACATCAACACAATTGCATCCTAGATGAACATTATGTCCCCACCTTGCTTGCAGTAAGCAAAATCTTGAATCTTGATGCTATGCCTTTTAGTGATGAAATGTTAAATGATAATTTTACCCTTCCAAATAAATTATCATTAGATGGGCAAAACCATAAAAAGAGAGAACTTTTTTTCATCCATTACGTAAAAAAAAGCAACACCTTAAGTAAATATTCGTGCTTTTCATATCCATCAAGTAAATGACAATTTTACCCTTGCCAAATCTAACAATTGTTCTTTCTCTTTTTTTTGTAATAAGATGCAGGGGATTGAAGATGAAGTGGTGCGAAGAAATGTTTTTTTGTTATTATCTACATAATTTTACTAAGTTAAAAATTAAATTCATTTGGTAATTTTTTTGCAAGTACTTTATTTAAGTTTAAAATTCTTGAAAAAAAGTTGTGTACTTGAAAATATGTTGGTATGATAGACACATCACTTAATGTATATTTCTCCCTATGTTTAAAGTGTTTTTAAAAAGGTAAGCGTTATGACTTCTTGCTAACTGAATTAACCATTTATTTCCTTTTTAAGGGTATTTATTAAAGAAAAGTTGTAAAAGGTATAATAGTCGTTATTCTTCACCATGTTTGCACCGCAACGACGCCTGATCAACAAAGTTGTTTCACATTCTTCGCTTTATGGGATTTTTATGACTTGTCGCTTTTGATCTACGGTTGACGAACCATGTATCTTGAGCATGTTGACTTTTTTTCTTTTGAAGACCACTTCTAGAGTTCCGAAACTGCAGTTTGGGTATATTGGTATAATTATTCAGCACATCATAGATTTTTCATGCAAAGTTATTACTGTTACTTTAGTATTTGTTCGAGCATTTTTCAGCGACTGAATCATCCAGCTACAGATGACCGTAGAGTATTTATTTTACTCTCATTCTAGTGTTTTATCGAGACCCTTCATACATCTAGGAGAGCTTGCATCGCTCTTGGTATCCGACACTCTCCATCCCGATGATTTGTTGATTTTTAATATCCGGTTATTGGTTATCAAAAATAGGGAGATAATATCTTATCATCCATATATGGTTTTATGATTGTTTGAGTTTAGATTTTTGAAGACTTCTCAAGACTATGATTTATTTAGTGATGCGATGTGGCACTGATTTTTGGTCTTCACGGATCAAATTTCTGGCTTTACTAGATGTTTCCCAGTTCCAGATTATTTATTATTCAGACTCTACCATAGGATGATTCTTTTGTGTTTGCATCCAGTTCAGATCTATGATTTCTCGAGTTTGGATTTGTGATATTTTGAAGACGAAGACTATTTTGGCGATGTGACATGGCACTTATTTTTGATCTTCCGATCAAATTTTTTGCATTGCTAGAACATATCTTCGGACTCATAGTATTTATTATTCGGACTTCACTTTTGGATGCTTCACATTTTTAGCAGGTTATCATGGGGCTTATGACTAGTTTGATGATTTGGATCTTATTTTTATGCTTCATTGGTGGTGCCTTGAAGCCGAAGACCGTTTACTGATTAGAGATTCATAGCCAACATTAGAGATTACCGACACTTCAGAGTTTCAGAGACATTTCAACATTTGGTTGTCATTATGTTTCATTTTATTACCACACTTGCTAGTCGGTTACTGTATTTTAGCCTTTAACACTTCATTTGTATCCCTCATCATTTGCGAGCATTTAGGGAGAAAATGTTGGAGCATGTAAATGCTCTACAAATTATGAGTAATAGTTAGGTTATATTATTTCCCTTTATTGTATTGTTATGTTTCTCTATCCTATAGAGAGAGAGTTGGTCATTGTAAAAGTAAGAGTGCTCTACAATGTAGTTTTCTAGAGAGAGAAAGTGTGGTGCGATTTCTCCCACCAAGGGAGATTTATCTCTCCCAACCATGTTCTTGTATTGTATTATTATTTCTCTATTTCTAGTGATTATGGAACTACTCCATCTTCATTTTCTTCATTTATATTTTTTATGATCGTTAAATATCGAGATATTATTATTCCACATCCACCGATCGTCAAAATAGGTTTCAACACACTAAGTTTACCAACCTGACCTACTTAGTTTCTTTGTATCATAGGTAACGATACGAAGGTACTGAAAGATAATTATATGATGAGAGAGTTAAAGGAGTTCGTAGACTGCTAGAATATTGATGTAAGGCCTGTTTATTCTTATGTTTCTGTATGAGTGATGACAACCCAAGGTTTAATTCTCAATGAAAGACATTTCTTCCGAAATATTTTTACTGGATTAAACTCTGCACTAACAAATAAACTCTGGTTTTAAATAAGCATAAATAAAAATTTTAAAATGGTCGTAAAATTGGAGATGTCATAGTTGGTATCAGAGCAATAGTTTAAGCGAACTAGGAATTTGTAGGATTTCTAGACATAAACTTAGAATGTTAAGCGATGAATGTGAGATGAGTATCTGCTATATTTAAGAAGTATGCCTGATTAGACGCTAGTATTAGTTTATTTTATGGAAGATACATAAATTGCTTTTATGTGCTAAATGATTTATGCATGCTTTAAGATACCTTATGATGCTCTAAGATTGCCTACCTTGTATATTATTACCTGATTAGATCTAAGGTCTATTGCAAAACTAGAATTAAGAATTTTTGTGTGTATAGGTTTCTAAACGTTTAATTACGGTATTAGAACTGACACATAAGTTTTCGGAGTGATAATGAGAATTATGTGTTTAAACTTTCTATCTTTCTCTATATTCTCGTCTCGATACACTGAACATCGTTATGGTATGTAGAACGTCATTGTAAGAACACGAATCGGATTAGGAAATGCTACTAGAAACCAATAGCCTGAGCCACAAGTGATTGAGCGTGCACCAGAGGTAGCAAATGCACCTGAGCCAATCACGATGGCTAGAGTACATGAAATGATGCAGATTATGCTAGACCGTCAGATAGAGGAGACAATGCATTTACTTTAGGGTAATAGAGATGAAGCCACTGCACCCATCATACAACGTGGGCTGGAAGAAGAACAATCAGAGAAAGGGGATTACAACCAAATTATTAGTTGAGTAGAACCCTTAGTGGTTAGGAGGAATAACCCTGAGGTGTGGATCAAAGGATAACGATGCAAGTACAAGGACTCTATGGCTGCCAAACCAGCAAATCTTTGTAGAAGCACAACGCCAATAGAAGTTATGGACAAGATCTCTGAGATGGAGATAGTATTTAAGAGCTGTGACTGTAGCAATAGAGAGAGGAATGTCCTTGAAGTCCGACAGCTAAAGATCGGGGTATTAAACTAGTGGAAGTTGTTGGATGATACAATGTCTAAAGGAGAGGCCGGTAAGATGTCATGGGGGAGAATTCCATATGTAGTGGAAGAGAGAATATTGCTCTAAACAAGACTTATGGAAATCAACAATAAATTCAACAACTTAAAGAACGAGAAGATGACCGTCAACGAGTATGTTGCAACTTTTATAGAGAAGATGAAGTTGGTTCCTTATTTGGTTCCCACCAAGCTTTCCAAAGTGAATAATTTTGTTAATGGACTACCGACAAATTTTGGTCCAATGGTAAAACAAGCAACCACACTGAAAGTCGCTATGTGGGTATTTGAGAACATTATGACCCATATTAGCGAGAAGGGACTGCAAAAAGATGAGAAAGGAGAGAAAAGGAGGCTTGAAGGAGCTTCAAAGTCTGACAAGAAAGGAAGATTCACGAGAATTGATCCCAATCATAAGAAATTTGTAGGTAGCAGTGAAGCCAAGTAGTGCGAAAAGTGCAAGTAGAAGCACTTACGAAGATGCGATGGGGAAGTGACATGCTACAAATGTGGAAGGACGGGCCATTATTCCAGAGATTGCACTTTTGATGACAATAAGTGTTACGAATTTGGAGATGGTGGTCATATTTAAAAGAATTGCCCGAAAAAGAATGAATCAGCAAGGCAGAATGTGCCGCCAAAGCCGAAGGAAAGGGCATATCATATGATCCTCGATGAAGCAACAATAGGTCGGGAATAGAGAGTGATGTATCAGGATTTTTGGATAAGTAGTATTAGAATGTGTGGCCTGTTATAAGAGGCATGTAAAATAAACAATTTTTGTAACCATTTTCGGAGATAATGCAATTTCCTAAATTATATTATGTGCTTTCTATGCGATTTCCTTTTTGTTATAACTTAGTGGACTGCGAGATAATACTTAGGACGAGTATGAGTAGGTGAGAAAGGTAGTAGAGGCCTATACCACCAGACACACATGACTCGCACTTGGATTAGGGAAAGTCATAAGGTTACTAAGACACTGGTAGTTGAGCTTTTATGTTCATTTCAATCATTGACTTTTTTTCGGTAATGACTACGAAGATCAATATTCTGACGTTTGCGGTCATATCAAATCTAGTCCAACTAATCTACGCAGTACGTTCGACGTAGTGTCAGAATTTAAGTTGAAGGAAAAGATAATCGAAGCGATCAATGGAGGTATCGTGTTCACTGTTAAGATTAAGCAGCATGTAGCTAGAAGTGCTACACGATAGAATGTGATTATATCACATTGGAAAATGAAGGAAGGTATCTTTCATGCTAAAGTCTGATTATATCCAACCGTTACATCAAACAACAAGAGGTCTTTAAAATATGGCCCATTGGTTTGTTATGGTAGTGAAGGTAAGGACCTTAATTTAGGTTAAGAAAGATTTGGAGGCTCCAATGGAGATCAATATTTAGAAGGAAGAGTAAGTGCAACTCCATCAACAGTCAAGAAGTCTAAGAGTTAGAAACTCGATAGAAAAGACATGTGGGTTACGGTTATCACCTAGGATGGAAAGG